TGTTTTAGCTTAAATATCAAATGCATTCCCAGTTCCTCGCTCATTGGTACATTAGGTATAATATACCATTTCCAGTGAAACACTGTAAAGTTGTTTTAAGAATGTAGAGGGGTTTTAAAGAAAGCAGACTTGAGTAAACTTGAGTAATGTGGATCTTTGACAGACTGTGATGAATGGAAGCAGAATCTCAGGTATGTTGAAGTTTGTTCCAGTCAACAGTAACTTTAAATAATACATTGCTGGACAATGATGGAATACAGTTGTTCATGAACAATTTAAATGTGGTTTTATTATTATTTTTTTAATGTTTTTAATTTTTGTTTTAAATGGGAGTGACCTGCAGTAGTCAGTTATGTTGTTCTAACATTCTAATGTCTCAGATACACTAAATGCTGCATGTACATTTTTGAAGATGTCAATATGATAACAAATATAAATAAAAATGACTTTTTTTAAATCGTGAAAAGTTATGAATAATAACCTAATATTTGCAGTTGTAATGACACTGACTTTGAAAGGGGTAAAAACTGTATAGAAAAACAAGATGCTCAGAAAAATAAGGATAAATACTAAAATTATACAAACAATCCCAATAGTGGCATTTAAATAGACCATTTAAAACCGATGTTAAAGGGATAGTTCACCCCAAAATGAAAATTGTCATCATTTACTCACTCCCAAAACAAAAATATATTTTGAAGAATGTTGGTAGCCAAACAGTGGCTGATTGACTTCCATAGTATTTTTTCTACTATGGAAGTCATTGGCTACCAGCAACTGTTTGGTTACTGTAGTAGATTTTTATTGGTTAAAATATGAATTGTTCGAGTGTAATCATTAGGAATATAACCATTTAAATATCCAGTTATTCTTCCATTATAATCACATATGCCTGTGTGGAAAATGCCTACGTGGCTAAAGTAGACAGGCCCTAAGATTAGAAACATCTGGGAAACAAAAGTGGGGGCCTTCTTTCTTTACCATAACAAGAACCCCTTCTCTCTAGGGAGAATTGTATGCACAAAGGAACCATTCTATGTATGGAAAACTGTATGTGATATATACCCCACGCCTTAAAATCCAACCTGTATAAAAAGGGAGACAGAAAGACATTCTGGAGATGTTTCGCTGCAGAGAGCATCTCCGCTTTATTCTCATTGATGATGTAATAAAGTGTATCTCCTGGCATCAAAACCCAAGACTGAGTGTGGTTCCTAAGATGAGCAGCAGACGACACCACAAATTGGCACCCCAGATGTGACTGGTTAGGAGCAGCAGAGTGGACGACCACTTTGGGCTGGCTTTTGGCGAGCAACACACAACAACGGTGGCCACCGAACGGTAAGCAATTTTGCTTATATAATTGGTGTGTGTTGTTTGCCGGTCTGCCCTCGGTGGTAAGGACACTTAAAATCTGCTCTTCCAGAA